CCGCCCAGATGAGCTCTGTCTGGAAAGCCTAAGCAGCTGGGAGGGGGTTTGATAGTGAGGGAGAGCCCTAATGGCATTGCTTCCAATCAGAGTGAGAGTTATTTAGACTTTCCTTGATCATTCCAATGATATCTCATTAAACAGCAGACAAACTGCCTGCTGTGGTCGCTTTGCTGTGTTGTGGTACCTCAGCAAAGCAGTTACTGCACTGGAGTAGGATGGGCAGTGTTTGTTCAGGTGTGGTCCAGTGTAGAGCTCCTTCTATGCCTTTCTCACTCTTACCTCAGCTCTGTGGCTTATTAAGGGATGCATTTCCTGTACCCAGTACTAAGGTCTCTCCTGTTTGATATTTTTTCTTCACCATGGAAGAGAGAGAAGTCCTGATGTCATCATTAATGCTTCTGTTTTTCTTTAAGCCTTGTTTTTCTTAATGATGACACAAAGTCATCTCTTTATACTCTGCTAAAGGGCAGTGACATTTGTGTAGAAGAAATCAGGAAGAATTTTGGTAGCTGGAATCTTCTACCAAGGCAGTTGCTTCCACTTCTGCCTTTCCTTGATGCAAGTAAAACCCAACTCCCTGGAGACTGACTGTGACCTGTGTCCTTTCCCAGCATTACTGCTCCTTTGTGCCCCTCTTCCTCTGGCAATTACTCACCTTCCCCTTTTTCCCAGAGGCAGTCTCTGATGTTAAGAAGGCAATGGTTTGTAATAGATTTAAAAAATACTGAATTTCAGAGAACAGGCACTGCTGCAGTTTGCTTTCCATGTATTACTCTGTACAGGGCTGGGTGGATTCTGCAATGCTTAAGTAATGGAAAGCTAGGTCTGTCTTTGGGGTATTTTCACACCCCTCATTTCAGAGTGTTTACGGCAATGGCAATTCCTTATAGCCATGTTGTATAGGATAAATATGTGTCTCTAATCCTCTATACATTAATCTATTTGTAGAGTCTTATTCCAGCTTCATTAATAAAGTTCTTTCTTTACCCCAGATTCATGGTGAAAATGCAGTAAGAGACATTCATCTGATATTGGGGAACATGAGTATGACTTGGGGCAGAATACAAGTCAGAATTTCTGGATTTTCTATCTACATATGTGAGTTGGAGGGAAACTAAAGCCTGCTGGTGTCTGTGCTTCCCTATCTGTAAAACAGGGATATGGATATATTTGTATTTTATGGCATAAATAATTACAAAGTCAGTGACAAATCTTAGAAATTCAACTGTGAGATAACATCCAAACACATAATATTAATGTTGTATTATGTCCCTAAACTGTTTCTTGGGGATATATTTGATGGGAAGGATATAGTGAGATCAAAATAAACTTTTTTTCACCCCAAATATTTTTTTAGAACCCAAAGTAAAAGTTGTTTCCACCAACTGCTATCTCTGCAACCATCTGGAAAATCACATTTTCTGAAGCTTTTCTTCTCTTTATCATCTGTAACTAAAGCTATAAAATAGGAAGACATCCCTGGTTTAATTAACACCCCTGTAGTTCAAAAGCTGATCTTAGTAATGAGAGGCAATTATAGCCTTTATTGAGGGACAGTCAGGTGGAACTAACCCATCATCAATCTGGTGAAGACACTTCCTTTTCCAGGTAATTTGGAAACTGCTTTTTATGATGAACAGACTACCTGGCTCAATACAACAGGTGAATCTCTTTCCTCTGTAACCTGGAGAAGAACCTCCTGTTTTGACTTTTGTGCTTCTTTTGTAAAGTGGTTTTTACAACCCATCCATCAACAAATACCAACTGACCTAAGAATAAACCTGTTGCTTTTTGAAGGGGATTCTTGCTGGTTTTCTTGTTTTATTTTCCTTGTCTAGTCTCGCTTTACATTTTGAAGGTTGTCTGGTGTTTGTATTTTAGTTCTAGTAAAAGTGCAGACTCTGAGATGCAGCCCCATCCTGAGAGGAAGGCAGAATTCTGAGTTCTGCACCTCAGCACTGGTGTGTCAGAGCTACAAAAGATCCGGAGAAGGACATGGAAATGATCAAGGAAATATGGTTTCTGCTATATGAGTTAAAAAGTCTGTGGCTTCAGTTTAGACAGAAAAAACCTGTGAGCAGAGATAAAGCTGAGTTTAGCTGAAAACATGAAGGTGGTAGATAAGAAAGATTTAGAGCTTCAATTCTGCAACTAAGGTGTTCTAGCTGAAACAAGGAGATATCCTTGAAATTAAAAAGTACCTTTTTTACATAGCAGATAGTGAACTTCTGGAATTTGTTGCCACAGGAGATTGAGGAGGTGTGCAGTGTCAACAATTTTGAAAAATAATTAGACAAACTCAGAGGTCCATGACCTGAGTCTAAAGGTGATGAGCCGGGCTCCTCAGTGGTATCTCATGTCAGACCTGTCCTCCAGCTTCAGATCTGTAAGATCTGTGTGGGTCTGCTGAATGCCCTGTGCTTTTTCTGCCAGCCATTTGTGGGTATCCTGATATCTCAGGGGTCTGGTATAAAGCTAGATGGTTCTTTCTGGAAAACTGATTTAAACCCTCAATATCTCCAATGCAGGCGGCTGCACTGGAGAGTCACTCAAGGTGACCATCATGATTAGGATATCTTCATTTGGCTGTTTACTGGTAATTGTCTGCCAGTGCTGTGGGTATCTAAATTCTTCTGTGGTCAACAGATGTCTAGTCAGTCTAATGGGGACCTAATGAACATGATCAATGAGCACTCAGAGCTGTCATTTTTTCCTGCCAGACTTGGGATGGTCAGTGAAAAAACTCACTGCTGCCTGTTTTGCATAGAATTTTAGTTGACTGCAACAGGAGTTTGGACACATAGTACACCAGCAGATACATAAATGTAGGTGTGTTAATCTTGAACAGAGTTCTGTCCCAAGATTCCTATTATAATGATTGTAGAAAAATAGTTGTCTCCTGAGAATAACTCACTGACCTGTTTTAAACATCTCTGTGTACACAACAGGAACTGCCCTTGTGAAGTTCACAGTTCTTCTCACTGACTCTAAAGGGACTCTAGATAGTGGTACCCACCTGGTGAATGGACACAAAGGGCAAGTGGGTCCCAGCCATCTCATTTTGGAGACTTTGGTACAGTCACTTAAAATGTCACCTGTACGAAATGTAGATTTTTAAAGCAATGTAATCTGAATAGGTATAATTATAAAATCAAAACAGCCCCCCGCTTTTGGTTTGATTTTGAATGATTAGCCATGATTTTCCCATCTGAAAACTATGCTGCGAAATGTGGTACATCCTCTATTCTTGGACTAATTTAACATCCTGATGAAATTGCCTTTTCCATACTAACTGTCAAAGTTGTAAAACTATGGCACAAGCCAGTAAGTTGTTTATTCTTCCAGTAAGTAAAGGTAGAATGGGTATTAAATCCCTAAATTCCTATGGTATTCCAGCAATGAGTCACTTTCATTAGGTAACTAGGAGAAAGGCTTATTCAGTATGGGAGAGTTCAAAAGGAATTTCTTTGGCTGGTGGGCCTGTGGATGTTGTTAACTCCATGCTGTCAGCAGACACAAAATTTGGATGCCATCACTATACTCTGGTTTTGGGACAGACCAACACCAACTACTCTGAAAAACACCCTGAGAAAGTCCATCTATTTCTAAAATTTCAACTTTTGCCTGTGACACTGAACAGACATGAAATTTCTTCAGTTAATCAATGTGATATAACCCTGTTTTGGAGACTCAGCATTGTTGAGGTAGAACATTGAGGCAGAACAGGCTGCTCATTCTTTTACCTTTCCCACTCCTGTGTGAACGTTGTTGTTCTATGCCTTGTTTACTTCAGACACAGGGCATGGGTGAGGAGATAAGGGACGATGGTGTGACTGCAGTGTCCCTGCAGCTTTGGATCTGGCTGTGGTGGCATGTGGTGGTGTTTGAGGGTCGACAGGACAAGGGAAGAGATGAGAATCTTGACTCCATGTTTCAGAAGACTGATTTATTATTTTTTGATGTACATTATATTAAAAGAAAATGATGTGCTAAAACTATACTAAAGAAAAGAGAAAGGAAACATCAGAAGGCTAGAAAAGAATGGAATTAATAATAAAATCTTGTGACTGCTCGCAGCCTCAACACAGCTGGCTGTCATTGGCCATCAAGTAAAAACAATTCACATGCTGGGTAAACAGTTCTCCAAATCACATTCCAAAGCAGCAAAACATGGAGAAGATGAAGCTTCTCAGCTTCTCAGGAGAAAAAATCCTAGCGAAAGGATTTTTCAGAAAATATGTCTGTAACAGCATCAGAGTGATTTGTGTGGCTTGCTTGATGGGGGAACCGTGACCATCCCCTGCCCCCCTGACTGAAATAAACACGGGCAGGAGACTTTTCTCATTTTTAATGCTTTTATTAAAAGTGATCAGCTCGGGTGGGGAGAACAGATGGGCCCACACTCACCCCACCACTGCTTCCAGGAGTGGCATGGAGGAAAGGAAGAGTGCTGTGTCCACTGGTCTGTGGGCAGAGCTGGGGCTTCCGTCCTCTCGAGAGCATCGGGAAATCTCTTGCTTTTTTGGTTTGACCTCCAGGGTCCTGCCTCTAGCCGAGGTCCTCCTTTGCTAGGGCGAGGGGCAAAAAAGGGTCTCAGCGTCTTTGCAGGCTCTGGACTTTGTTCCTCACGTCCAGACATCACTTTGATCTCCTAATTCTGTGTTGGCTCGTTGGTTTTAGGTCTTTTTGGTAAGTTTGGTGGGTGGTTTTCCTGTGGCATGCTGGCTTCGAGGTCATTTGCATGCCCTGCAATGTCCCCTCCTTTCACTGTCCAAGAAGGGTTATCCACCTGGCAGCAGGCAGAGTGGTACTGACAAAAAGGGGAATTCTCAACAATAGGGAGTTAACGACAGACTCTTAACAGGTTATTACAACATGAAGAACTCTCCTCTGCCAGCAACTAGCTCAACTTGTATCTCCCCAAACTTTTAAAAAAAATGGGTAACCTTTTTTTTACTCATAACACTGACTGTGGTGTGTTTCCATCCCCCCTCCAGGTTACGGACACGCTGCCCCAGGGACGGATGCAGGGAAGGCTTTCTGCATGTTCTACGCCGTGCTGGGGATCCCTCTGACCCTCGTCATGTTCCAGAGCCTGGGCGAGCGCATGAACACCTTCGTCAAGTACCTCTTGAAACGCATCAAAAAGTGCTGTGGCATGAGGAGCACCGAGGTCTCCATGGAAAACATGGTCACTGTGGGGTTCTTCTCCTGCATGGGGACACTCTGCATTGGAGCAGCAGCCTTTTCCCAGTACGAGGAATGGAGCTTTTTCCACGCTTACTATTACTGCTTTATAACATTGACTACGATAGGGTTTGGAGACTATGTGGCCCTGCAGACCAAAGGGGCCCTTCAGAAGAAGCCTCTCTACGTGGCTTTTAGCTTTATGTACATTCTAGTGGGGTTGACAGTCATCGGGGCATTTCTAAATCTGGTTGTTCTCAGGTTCTTGACCATGAACAGTGAGGATGAGAGGAGGGATGCCGAGGAGCGGGCGTCCCTGGCAGGGAACCGCAACAGCATGATTATCCACATCCAGGAGGACTCCCAGCACGGGCGGCCGCGCTACAAGGCCGAGGTGACAGACCTCCAGTCAGTTTGTTCCTGCATGTGTTACAGGTCCCACGAGTACACCAGCCGGGTGGTGTCCCACCAAAATTCGTTCAGCTCGAAGCTGAACCCCCAGTACTTTCACTCCATCTCTTACAAGATAGAGGAGATCTCGCCAAGCACATTAAAAAACAGCCTTTTCCCATCTCCTGTCAGCTCCATCTCACCTGGGTTGCACAGCTTTACAGATAACCACAGGCTGATGAAACGGCGAAAGTCCATTTAAAGGGATTGGTCTTATTTTGCTTTCCTTGTTTTTCCCAGTTCTTTGTTGTTTTGGGTCTTTCTGTTCCTTGAGTGAGACGGAGCGAGGCCAAAGGGAGTAGAGCAAGCCAGTCCTCCTCTGAGACTCAGCTCTTGAGCATGAAGCATGGATTATTACTGTTCCAGCAAAGTATGCCTTACATTACCCCCTTGGTGGATGTCAGAGGATTTAAGGTGACGTGAAGTGGGTACCAAATCCAAAGTTGCACACACAGCTGGGAGCCTTCATGTGCCACTGGCACTCCTGACCTAACAAACTTTTTCCTCACAAGCAGGTTGCAGTGTGTGTGCGTGTGCCTGTGTGAGTGCTGGGTGTGTGTGCCTGTGTGTGTGCGTGTGCAATTCCACAACCAGTGCCATGTGACAAAAATTAAAGCATCAGGTATTATTTTTTTCTTTTGCCCTTGAAGCAGTTGTGTTCCAGCCTGCTTTTTTAGATTGCTTCCAAAAGGAAAGGGGAGGGTGGGAGGGGAGCCAATTTGTTTTGGTTTTCTTTTTTTGCCAAGAGAAGCATGCGCCATAAGCAGTCAATATACCAGGTGTATCATGGTAAATTTTTTAATGCTAGATTTTAGATTGTATTAACATTAAAAAAAAAAAGGCAGGAGAAGATGGATCATTTTAGCTTGCCAGTTCAAAACTAAAAAAACAAAAAAATAAAGCATGCACTTTTTAAAACTGGTATGCATAATAAAAACACAAGAAAAACTAGCAATGGAATTAATAATCAAAAGCAAATAATCATATTAATTTAACTATATTTAATTTTATAATTTTCAACTGTTCCAACAATTTGCAAACAGAATTCCTAGGATAAATTGGAAAAATTGTTGGAACAGGAGAGTGTATTTTGTTATTTCAATTTTATTTATAAATTATTATTATTATTATTATTATTATTATTATTATTATTATTATTATTATTATTATTATTATTATTATTATTATTATTATTTTGTGCAGCAATTACCTGCATGAATAGGATTTTCTATTCTTTGGAATGCTTGGTTGAGATGGGTATAAATAGGAGGATGTATATTTTTTCTTATATAATAGTGACAGGGCATTCCTTGTTTTAAATAAAAAAAAAATAAAGATGATTGTCTCTAAATGCTTTTGATTTGTAAATAATGGAAAGCCTTTGTTGGTCTCAGGAAGAATTCAAGGGACAGTATCTTGTGTTTGGCTCACTGGGAACTTGTGAGATTAGATGTGATATTGCTTTTTTTGCTAGCAAAGGAAAAATGCATTTAACAGTAACAGGCAAAAATAGCTTTACTCCAGTGTTTGAAGGGTAACAGCAGGAGCAGTTGTGTTGGCAAGTTGTAGTGGAGGATGTTGAGACCATGTCATAGAGTTGTTCCTTGGACATTGTCCATCTCTCAGTTGTTCATCTGGACCAAACAGACTTTACAGAACTTAATTAGAGGCCTAATCCAGCTCCCTTTTAACAGAATAGGAATTTTCAGTGATTACATGGGATTTAGTGCTTTTGGAGATTTATCTTTGATTTTACAAGAGTAGGACTGGGGGTTTTATGAACCTGCACCTTTGTCTCTGATTTAATTCTATCTTTTAAATCGCTTTCCGTGTTAATTTGCCATACAAAACCCATTTCTTTTTGGCACTAATCACCTCCTGCTGATTCTACCATTCTGTGCTCTCAGTGTAAAAGCAATAATCCTTTTTTTACCCTTAAAAACTAGATGGTGTGTGCCCAGCTCTGAGCTCTGTGTGCTGATGGATGTTGATACCCTCTCAAAGAGACATTTATAAAGAGCATTAACAGGGAGAAATAAGGAGTGTCATTCCTCCTCTGTTGTCTTCTCCTTGGCTTTAAATTATTAACTATCAAATATGCTCATGTTCTCCACATCTGTCTTTCAGTAAGTAAATGACAAGCAAGTTATCAATGACTTTGACTCCGTTATGCAGCTTCCTTTGGGTGCAGAAATTGCTGTGGCATGAAATCCTACATTAAGATTGGTGAAGAACTTACAGGATTCTTAATGACAATGGACTTTTTCAGAGTAATGTGTGGGGCAAGCTGGGTGCATCAATGCTGTGCTGCCAGTACCACGTCCTAGGGCAAATGCTGATGGCAGAAGGATCAAAGCAAGAATACCTAAAAAAGCAGTTTCAGGATGTATTAAACCCACCTCAGTGTTTGCTACCTTGAGCTGTTTCCCCTGACAGCCCATAGGGTTCACAGTGCTCTCCAAATTCACTTTTTTTCATTTTTGTTTGTTATCCCAGAAGTGAAAATAAATGTATGGCTCTTTTCCTGCTATGGAGAGAGGTATGCCTGGAATATGCACCTCTGTGTCATGTACAGCTGCTGGGAATGTTTTGGGGTTTTGCAGAATTCAAGTTGAATTCTGTGCCTGGAAAAAGAGAATTTTGGTAACAGGACCTTTAGCAACATCTTCAAAAAGAAAAAAAAGCAGTTGCATCTTACAAAACATTGCATCGATTTTTTTTTCTTTAGGAAAGGAAGAAATTATTATTTCTGCTGCACATAAAAAAAATCATCTTTAAATGTCTTATAAAACATGTTGAACTGGAGAGGTTGGAAACTTTACATACTCTAGCCGATTTGTTACTAAATCTTCCCTCTGGAACCATAAATGAAGAGTCAATTTTAATACATGGGGTGTTTAACCAGGAGAGAAACTTACCTCATCATATCATGGGTTATCTGCCACTTAGAGTCTCTGCGTTAAAACTCAATGGCTTTATAATAGCTCTGCTTTAGCTTAGTTGAAGTTTGTAGATGTAGTTGAAGAAATCTGTGTATGTTGATATGAAGGAGCCAGAGTAGATGTCTGTAGCCATATTTTTAAATTTAAAAGCTATAATCAGTGTATGTGTTTGAAAGTGTCTTGCTTGAATGTATCTGCATTCTTTGGGATTTTCAAATATGCTTATTTATTTTATTTTCTGGCTGAAGAGCCCACAGTTGTGTCCAACATATATTTTTGCCACACATGGGATTTTGAAGTAGCAGGATGTTTCATTTGCAAGGAAACTCTTGTAGGACTTTGCAAGCCAGACACAAGAACCCTCACATGTGCACATCAGAATGCAAGGCAAAATCTGCCTCTCTTTAATTATTTTCATGGTTCTTGACTGATGTGTGAATAATGGCTTGGGCTGCCTGGAACTGGAACAGGCTGAATCATGAAAGGGAAGCTTTTGTCCGAGGTTAATCCCAGCTTTTCAGTTAAACATGAAAAACCAGCCAGTGAAAGGGGAGCTGACTTTTGGCAGTTCTGACTTCTTATTGCCCTATATGTTTTTTTCTCACAACACTGCTTTTCACAGAATATTTTGGCTAGTACATTATTGAGTTTATTCAATTTAAGATATAATCTCTCTCAGAACAACTTCTCTTGCTCACTACTCGCTCTTTTGAAATTCAGCTATGAGCAGGTAGTAGTGGTGCTGCTCATGACTAGACATCCTAATGTCTGCTATCACTTTGTGATGCATTCTCATTCCCCAGAGTCTCATTTCCCCTACCATTCCCTATTATTAAGCATTAGAAATAATAATAATAAATCAGATTAGTCTATTTATGTCACACTAATGTGCTCTTCATCAAAACAACACAAATTTAGCTCCCTGCTGTCGACTTTGATTATATAACAACCCTATTATCCTATAATATTTCATATTATCATCAAAGGGAAAAATCAGTTTGATCAGTGAAGCACCAAAATAGCTTTGACTGAGCGTGCTGTGATATGGAAACAAGAGGAAACTTAATAGAACAATGCAGGCACAAGTCTCCACTTGGTCTTCATTACTGTAAGGAATATCCTGACAGATCTAACAGGCACTGCTTTGCCAGAACTTTGTACATGTACCTGCTTTACAGGGATACCTGTAGCTGGGCAGCCCCAGAAAGGGTCTTTGGGTGTTCCTAGAAGAGTCCAAAACTTGGTTGTTAGTGAATGGAGAAGATGTACAGTGACCTTCAGCAATAAATTTCTGTTTGAACTCTCTGTAACAGCTCATTAGGATGAAACAGACATTATTTAAAAAAAATAAAATAAAAAGAAAAATAAAAGAGGGAAGTGACCAAGTTAATCTACTGTATTGTACATTTTCTCATTAGTTCCCTAGTGCTTTGATCAATGAAATGCCAGGGTAGTAATCAAGATTATTGTGAATCTGACCTTAAGCAAGGTAACCCCTTGTTTTCTCTGACAGATTTGGAAGGTTTTGTAAAGGAAAAAATAAAGCTTGATTGGTTGCTAAAGGCTTAAAAAGGAGCAGTCAGTAGAACCAAGATGGAGCATGAAAATGTTCCAAAACCATTTGGTGCGTGCAGAGCAGAGGGCAGGGGTTTGGGTAGAAGTAGCTTTCAGCTGAAGCTTATGTTCTCATTTAGCTTTATGTAATATTCCTGTTAATATTAAGATCTAATTAAGACAGTCATTTAAAATCTTTATGAGGAAGCTGGATGAGAAAGATGTGTTGGAGTGTGTCCATTACACTAATGTTATGGACTTTTTCATGCATATTTCAACAAGACACTATTACTGACTGGAATATTGCACAAATTACAATGAGAATCACACCGCTGCTGCTTTCATCAGCCAGAGATGTGTAACACTCACAGAACTGAAAAAGAAAATAATGCTTTTCTGACCAGCCTGCTGTCATCTAACTTTTTATATAAAATTTTATTTTGGGAACTTCAGCAAGATAAATTGTAGAAAAAGGATTTGCTATCATAACAATTCACCAAAATTGAAACAAATGGAATAATGACATTGGACACAGAGAAATTGATTATGGATGGAAGGTGCCCTGGGACTCTTATGCCAGTTATGCTGAGCTTAGAGGCTGAATGAAAACCATGAAAAACTGATGAAACCCTTTGCCAAAATGCAGTTTTCAGTTCTTTAAGATGCATATTATGAATACGGCAAAGCAAATTTCACCCCCATAAAAGCAGTAGGAAGGCAAAAAGAAATTTGGGAAAATACGAAATTGTTCTCAGAAGCAGGAGTAGTTGTGTTATTTCCAGTTGAAATGGCTGTGAGGTGGTGCTGAAGGACTGCTGAGCTTTCACCTGTGTAGAATCAGTCTGGGACACTGACTGTCCTCTGCTCAGTCAAGGTCTGCCCCAGTGTTCCACTGATAATGGCTGATAGGGGGATTAATGGAGTTCCTGTCTCTCCAGGCAGGTTTTTACAGCTGCCTCCATTTAAACCAAGATTTTACTCAGCCAGCCCATCCTAAGCAGTGCTGGCCTCTGTGATATATTATATTAGTGATGCTATTTCCTCCTCCTGGTGCTCCCAAGTACAAGAGAGCAAACTCTCCTTTGTCTAAGGCCTGGGTAGGCAGGGCCTTCCTCTGAAGCCAGCTGATTTGTGTGCCATGCAATGAGTCCTGATTTGTACCCTTTTCCTGAGACTGGAATTTTATTTATACCCTTTTCCTGAGACTTTTTTCTATTCACTACTAGATACTCTATCAGTGCCTCCAACTACTGCTCACCATGAACAGCCTTTCCTAAACTTAAGGGAAAGCAGTAAGACCTAAAACCAACAGTCATCCTGTGTAATTAATGCAGCTGTATTTTGTGTTATGGAATCCAGTCATTCAAAGCTGCCTGCTAATTTTAGGCTGGAAATACTATCCCTGGAGCGTTCAGCCTTCATTTTTCTCTCCTTCCATGAATATTGTAATTAATAAATATCCCAAAGTCCTCCTTCACCTTGCTTTCTGACAGGGTAAGGAGTGCTGCCATGTATTAACACCCACAACAGATTGGGAAAAAAAAAAAAAAAAAGGAGGGGAAAGATTAATGCTGCAATTTTATTGGTAATTAATATTCACAGTTCCAAGCTGCGTTGTCTTTTAGTTCACTTTGAGAAATGCAGAGCAAACAACAGGATGAT